ACTATCACACACACAAACGAGTGTACATCACTACACTATCACACACACGAGTGTTCATCACTACACTATCACACATACACACAGTGCACATCACTACACTACCACACACACACACACGAGTGTACATCACTACACTATCACACACACACAAACGAGTGTACATCACTACACTATCACACACACGCACATACACACGAGTGTACATCACTACACTATCACACACACACACACGAGTGTACATCACTACACTATCACACACACGAGTGTACATCAACAACAACAACCGCCATTCGCCACTAAGTGGCGGTGACGTCACCACGACGCTTTTGCCAGGCCATGTGCACCTTAAGGCCACGTGAAGTGTCGAACACCCGCCGACAGGAGGTCACAGGACTCACCCAGGTGCCACGGGTCGACTGACTGAGATGACTGGCTGATGCACCACCTGTGCCCCCTACTGTGCCAGCCTGCTATGCTTTAGCCACCCGGCGCTCCGCTCGTTGTTGTGAGCGTCGCTCCTCCGCCCTCCGTTGTTGTTGGAGGGCGACTGCCTCCAACTGCCCAGTAGCGTCCTTCACAAGCCTCCTCCACAGAGGCCAATCTTGACACCGCTGGTACCAGTCTTCGGCAAGTCCACTCAGCTCCACGTCCTCCTGTACCACATCACTCCATCTCTTCTCTAGCCCGTACCTTACCCGTTTAGCCCCCTCGATCCGGCTGAACAAAAGCTGTTTCGGAATGCGGTGGCTGGGCATGCGGGCTACATGACCCAGCCAACGCAGCCTTGCCTGCCGGAGGAGCTCACCGATGGGACCATGTCCAGATCTTTCAAGGATTTGTGAGCTCCTCACACAATCCAGCCTGGTTAAACCCAGGATGGGTCGTAGGCAGGCCTGCCTAAATGTTTCTAACCGGCAAAGATGTTCCATTAGGGGAGTCTACGTTTCGCAAGCGTAGAGAAGGGAGGGAATGACCGTGGCCGAGAAGACTGAAGGTTAGTGCGGAGCGACAGACCAGGTCCCTTCCACACAGCGTTACGCATCCGATGAAAAGATATTGCCGCTCGACTGATTCAGAGTGAGACCTCTGCTGTTAAACTGGAGCTGGTCCTAAGCACACTGCCCAGGTATGGGAAACTCTCCACTCTCCCCGCAACTGCAACATCACCGATTGGGAGTTCTGGAGTGTCCGATGGTACAAAATACCCAGGCAGGTGCTTAGTTTTGGTGGGGCTGATGGTAAGGCCCCATCTCTTAGTGGCACGCTCCAGTCTCAGCAGCAGCATCTCCAACTCCTCCTCTGAATGAGCAGCTATTACCAAATCATCGGCATACATAACGTGGTTGAGCAATAGGGAGCCATCCCTTGACCGCACCCGGGCATCGATCAGCCTCCCATTATATCTGTACCATATGGAGATTCCCCCCGTACAGCTATTGAAGGCTTCACGAACTACGTGGTCAAAATAGATGTTAAATAATGTGGGAGCCAGAGGACATCCCTGTCGCACCCCAAGGTGTACAGGGAATGGCTCTGACTCCCAGCAACATAGTTTTACCCGGGCCCGCTCACCATCATGAAGGTCCTTAATGATCGTGAGCAGAGGGTCAGGTACTCCAAAAGCACGGAGAACAACCCAGAGCCCAGGCCTACTGATGGTATCATAGGCCTTGACCAGGTCAATAAAGCAGAGATGTAGGTCTTGCTGGAATTCCCTACACCTCTGCTGTACCAGCGGACAGAAAATATGAAATCTTTGCAGGACCTCCCTTTCCTGAAACCGCATTGGTGCTCCGCAAGCCTCTCCTCAGCGTGCCTAGCAAGGTGATGTTGAATATTCCTTGCCAGGACCTTTCCTGGCACACTGAGAAGTGAGATGCCCCTGGAATTGTTACAGTCTGTGCGGTCCACCTTCTTAAAGAGGGGGACCACCAGGGCATTGTTCCAGTCCTGCGGAACCCGTCCAGTGGTCCAAACTGTTGTTATGATGTCATGTAGGGCAGTCGGTGCACAAACGCCACCCTCCCTCAGCATTTCGCTTGCGAGATCATCTCTACCCAGTGCCTTTCCTGGTCTCAGGCTCTGGATCGCCAACAGTACTTCCTCAACAGATGGCACCCCAGCCAGCCACTCACAGGGGGTGACGTCTTCCAATATTTGAGGCACCGCAGCCTCGGCAGGGTCATCCCCACTTTGTCCCACGTTGTTATCCAGCCTGAGGGATGTCCCTTCCCCCAGGACCTCACAGAAATGCTCAGCAAATCTGCAAACCTGTTCCTGGGGGTCGGAGATTGGATCACCGTTCTTTTTACCTAATGATGGTAATAGGTGTGGCGCTGCAGGTTACTTTTTTGATGGAATTAAAGAGCGATTTGTGATCGCGGGCCACTGAGGCAGACTCCATCTCCTCAGCAACCCGCGACCACCACCCTTCCTTGCAGCGCCTCATGGCACTCCGAACCTCCGAGCGAAGGCTGCGGTAAGCCTCCTCATTCTCTGACGTGGGATTCTGTAGCCAATGACAGTGGGCCTGTCGCTTTTTATCAACTATCCTGAACACCTCCTCTGTCAGCCAGGGTCTCTGCGGAGGTCTCAACCGCGTACCCAAAGCAGCCAATGCAGCTGCATGAGTGACAGTCCTAAACCTCGCCCATTGCCCCTCGACATCCGGAGGAGTGGGGGATGATGCCAACCCCAGCCACAGACGATAATGGAATTCTCGCTTGCAACTGTCCCATGCCCTCCAACCACTCCAGACCAGGTGCCAGCATCATGACCCACTCGGGCATTGAAGTCACCCAACAAGATGACTCTATCCAAAGGGGCCACTTTAGCCAGCACCTGTGACAGGAGGTCATAGAAGGCATCTGACTCATCGGCTTTGCCTGCATCCCTCCACGGATGTTCGTCTTCGGTGGGGGCATAAGTAACCACGACCACCACTCTTCACCTCCGATTGATGGGAAGGCGAGCCCAAAGTAGCCTGGGGCTTACAGCTTCCCACACCTCACCGCCATGCTCCCACGCCCCCTTCATTATTTTGTTCATAAGAAAAGCCACACCCCTGTTGTTTGACAGTCTGCTGCCCCGAGTAGAGGACTGTCCACCCCTCATGATGGCAGGAGCCAGAACCGGTCCACCGGATCTCCTGAATGCCAAAGAGATCCAGGCAGTACCGGTCCAGCTCCTGACAGAGGAGTGGCAGCCTCTCCTCCACAGTGAGAGTTCGAACATTCCACGTGGCCACACGTAGTGGCTTTTCATTGTTTCTGGCGGAGCCCCGAGGTTATAGATTCAATCTCCCGGCTCCGCCAATTGGGGTTTGGCCAGGAGACGTCATAGACGCCTATCCCTCCGGGGCCTCCGGTACAAGCTTATTAGTTAGATATATTATACGTGGTTTAGTGGTAAATTTTTGAAGGTGGAGGGGTTACCAGCCACTCGCACCCATCCAGAGCCCCCGTTTAGCAACTGTGGTGGTCACAGACGCCATGAGGGGAGGAGCCAATCGGAATTGGACCTCCCCCCACAGCACTGTCCATGACAGAGTTGCCCGTCCGGCACCGCGAGGAGGTAGGGGGTTGTTTTGCTGGACTATCACTACACTATCACACACACACACGAATATACATCACTACACTAACACACACACACGAGTGTACATCACTACACTATCACACACACACACACGAGTGTACATCACTACACTATCACACAGACACACACAAACGAGTGTACATCACTACACTATCACACACACACAAACGAGTGTACATCACTACACTATCACACACACCTCGTGTGCCGTGCCGGCCTTCAAAGGTGCTCACCAACAGCACTTGCTCCTACAGTCTGTGAAAGGTGACACACGGGAGATGTTTGTGTTTGTTGTACACACACACAGAGACGCTATGGCGGTGTTTATATCCACGCTGCTGCTGTGATCCACTGCCTCCCACGGGCACTACCGCACAGTAGGGCTGAACGATTAATCGATTTCAAATCGAAATCGCAATTTGAAACAATGCGATTAGCAAATCGCAAAGGCTGCGATTTTTTTGCGATTTGAAAAGTCCTGTCAGTTTCTAATTGGAATTGTTTTGTGTTTAATTATTATAACTTATATGTTTAATTTAACAATTGTTATATGTTCGATTGTTTTTTTAATTAAAACATTTTAATAAATACATGTTGGAAGCAAATAATATATTTTAAGTTCTCATCCTTGCATTAGAATATAAAGAGCAGTTCACATTGTGATGGTATCATATGGTAATGCTCCATCACGTGTTTTAAATCTATTACACAATGAATATCGAAATGAAGCTTGATTTCCATTTTTTTAATCGCAAATCAAATCGCAATATCTGTCAGAAAAATCGCAATTAGAGATTCTCCCCAAATCGTGCAGCCCTAGCGGACAGAGCGCCCCACCTCCTGGCACCGCGCAAAGCCCCGCACGGGCGACCACCACCACCCTGCCTAGCAGGTGCTACAGGCTGCGGGGTCACGTGGTGGGACAGTCACCACCCTGCCTAGCAGGTGCTACAGGCTGCGGGGTCACGTGGTGGGGCAGTCACCACCCTGCCTAGCAGGTGCTACAGGCTGCGGGGTCACGTGGTGGGACAGTCACCACCCTGCCTAGCAGGTGCTACAGGCTGCAGGGTCACGTGGTGGGGCAGCAGATGGCGGGGCAGACAAACGCACCGCTGTACTGTACTTCTGTGCTCTCGCCAGCTGCGCCACCTGACTTCGCCAACGCATAGTGAACGGCGTGGTGAAGTATGGTCAAATATTCCCGGCGACCCGCACGGTGTAGGGAGGCAGTGGATTGACAAAGTTCCCGTTAGATGTCATCACACCGCTAGCTACGCACTACAACGTTGTATAATGCCCATTATGAATTGCTCTATTATAGTGTACGTGCGTGTTAGTGCACGAGTGCTATTGTTATAGTGGCACTGTTGTTACCTTGGCTACTGTGATTATCGTTACTGCAGACGGACGCTCACCGACTCTGGACCCAAACTCGGCCTACAACAAACTCCAGATTTCTTCGGACCTCAGGACGGTGACGTGGACCGCTGTCTACCAGGGTCGCCCCGATCACCCACACCGCTTTGATTACTGGGACCAAGCCCTGTGCTCAGAGAGCTTCTCGTCGGGTCAGCACTACTGGGAGGTGGACGTGGGGGGTGCGGCGGGGGGCTGTGAGGTTGGAGTCACGTACGGGACGATCGCACGGAAAGGGCGTGGTGACGAGTGCAGCCTGGGAAGGAACGACTCATCCTGGGTGTTATATAAAGATAACAACAGCTGCTCAGTGTGGCATGGTGGTGTAAAGACCTCAGTGCCGGTGAGGGATCCTCCCCGGAGAGTCGGGTGTCACCTGCACTGGGAGGCGGGGCTGCTGTCGTTTTACCGCGCCGACTCCATGGAGCTGCTGCACTGCATTCACCACGCGTTTAGTCAACCGCTCTACCCCGCACTGAGTGTGTGGAGTGGTAACTCAGTGAGGATTCTGGATCTGAGTCGTGCGTCCTGAGAGCACGGAGTGTGAGCAGCGCAGAGAAACGGGCACAACGCACAGACTCACGCACACAAAGACAGATCCCCCGTGCAGCCTAAACAGACTGTTGGGGCAAGGGCTGTTAGCAAACGCCTCAGAAGGCTGACACGGCACTCGAGGGGGTGGGTGGCCAACACCACGACTGACCCGCCTTTGTCTCCCCAGTGGTAACGTTTACACACCGCACCAGGAACTCATTTGAGGCTGAGTCGACCTACGGGAGGCCCATGACCCGTTCGCCAACACCATTGCCGATTATCTGATTCGGTCCTGGGTCTCCCCTAGGGTCGACTCAGCCTCAAATGAGTTCCTGGTGTGGTGTGGAAACATCGCCACTGGGGAGACAAAGGCGGGTCAGTCGTGGTATTGTCCACCCACCCCCTTGTGTGCCGTGCCGGCCTTGATAGGTGGTCGCTAACAACACTTGGCCCAACAGTCTGTTAAGGATATACGTGGGATATTTGTCTGGGTGAGTGGGTTGGTGTGTTTATGCCTTTCTGTGTCTTTGTTATTGTGCCTGTGTCTGTGTGTGTCTTTGTCTTTGTGTGTGTCTGGACATGGTGCTTGCCACCCACCGCCTCGTGTGTCACAGTGCCAGCCTTAATAGTTGCTGCTCGCTACTTACAGAACTTGCCCCAACAGTCTGTTAAGGATACGCGGTGAATCTTTGTCTTTAGTATATAGAGGGGCATGTGTGTAGTGTGGGGTGGAGCGGTGGTGCAGTGGTTAGCGCACTGTGGGGGGGTGGGGGGGGATTTTAGGTTCTCTCTGACGCCATCGTCCCTCGCACCGCACGCCGCGTGGCGCTCAACGCCGAGAGGGCGGAGCTCCACCGCGGGCGTGCTGGGAACACGCGTCACGTGACGCTACGGGGTGACGCGCGCCGTCCCCCTCGCGGTCACTCGCTCGTTGGGCGATAAACCCGGGGTGGGAATGGGGTGGGAATGGGATGGCATCACTATGACATGTTTGTCATAACCAGGGGTTGAGTGACTCCTCCACTCACACTTTATTTTACAGGGCTAAGAGAGAAAGAAGCCATTTTAAAACACAGTAGGAGGGCTTTTGCCACCAATATATTCCGTAATAAAGGTTGGTTTTGTTTATTGTTTTAATTATCTTTGGACCTCCAGCCACAACATTCGATTCATGGGATAACGCCTTCCTCTGCTGACAAAAATTGGAACTGTCTCTTGACTTTGAAGTCCGTTATTTAATTAAGCCTGATATATATCTAGAGTGAAGATCTACCTTACACAACAACACGCCTAATATTGTCTCAACACGCATTAATAACACAGACACTGTGTTATTACAGAGATAATGACAATGCGAACTCCAAATATACAGCAGCTGTCACGGTACTAATCTAACCCACGACCTCCTGCATACCAGGCGAGGGAGTTAACATCTCCGAGCCACCGCAGCGCCCCTTCTTAACGTGAGACACCAATCTGGTGTGAATCTAACTCGAGTCTCAGGCTGTTTAGCAACGCGTAGATTAATATGAGACGCATTGATTATATCGTACCAGTTGTGTAGTTGTGTGAACGCGAATCGCATTGTGCTCTGGGCTAGGGGTGAGATTTCTACTTGCGTCATTTCTGGCATGGGTTTGACTTGTTTTGATTTTTTTCATTTGTGTGACTTAGGTCACTCTTGTCAATGAGACTCTTCCTGGTCTCCAGAGTTCTCACCTCGTTAAATTTAAATTCAACTCGACTCGGTCATCATTATCATCAGCAGAAGTATCATCAGCAGAAGAATTAGTAACAGCAGCAGGACCAACAGCATCAGCAGCAGTAGCTCCATCATTAGCATAATCATCGTCAGCATCAGGAGTAGTACCAACAGCATCAAAAATAATAGAAGCATTATCAGCAGCAACAGAATCATCATCAGTAGCAGCAGCAAAAGCAGCAACAGTCACTCTCACCTGGTTAAACAAGTAGACTTTAACACGTAGGCTTTCGCGACCAATATTATTCATAATAAAGGTGTCTTGGGTTAGATCGCGTAAATATGCATAGACTTGATTGGGTTACCTGTGAATTGGAATCGCATTTTATTGTGGGTCAAGGGTCAATGTGTGTGTGGTAATGAATAAAAACATTATATCTGAACGTGTTTACTGTGCTGGGATGTATGGGCTCACATGGTGGTGAGATTCCTCGTCTCTGTGGCTTGTCGGTGGCATATTCTTGGTTCTTTCGGTAAAGTCACGTAGAAGGGAAACAATAAAATAATAAAAATATAAAACAAAATTCTCACGACGTTTCGACTGCAACACAAGCAATCATCATCAGGTGTGAAACCCACAACAAGAAAATTTGAAAAAAGTGGCGGTTATTTTTAACGTTAGCACCACGGAGAGCGATTTGGCAGTTTGTTCAGATGGACGAGTCCATCTATGTTCGGAAAAGAGGAGGGGGGAGACGAAAAATAATGGATGCGGTATGAAAGCCACTGTAAGCGTGAACAATCAATTAAGACCCGAGATGGTTTATCAAATCCTTCCAATGATTGCTAAGCCAGAATCCATCTTCTCGCTTGAAATTGTCTCAGTTTGTATATGTGGATAGCCTCACGAACGAATCTCTCATGGTAGCCAGATGGCTTGCAGAGAAACTCTGTCTTGGAGAAGTCAATGTCATGTGAGCCTACTGAATTATAACAGTGATCTGCCACGGCCGAGGTGTTGGTCCTACCGTGTTTCAGGTCTGCTTTGTGTTCAAATCTTTTTTGTTGTGGTTTTCACACCTGATGATGATTGCTTGTGTTGCAGTCGAAACGTCGTGAGAATTTTATTGTTTTATATTTTTATTATTTTATTGTTTCCCTTCTACGTGACTTTACCGAAAGAACCAAGAATATGACTCCCTGTAGTCACGAAAGCTTTAAATCAAAAGTTGACGGTGGCAGTTTGACATCTTGATATCAGTGGTGGCTATGCACGTGGCCTGTAATCCCGCACTGTGGAGGTGAGGGTTGGTGGGACCCCTCGAATGTACTGAAGCTCACTTCCTGAAGGAGCCGAGGAGAACTCCCTACATCTTCAAAGTGTGGACTAAAATCTTCTGTCCCTTCTGTATGGGATTGAGTGTACTGCCGTTTTAGGATGCAGCTTTTCTCCGGGTCCTCCAATTTCTTGCCACATGCACACACCCAAACATTCATTGACTAAAGACATCTTAACATACATAGAGGAGCGCAGAGATTTGGTAATCAGTTTTCACATGTAGGTGCTCGCGAACAATATCGTCCATAATACAGGTTCTTTTGGGTTAAATCGAGTCGATGAGCATCCATCTGTAGTAATGATGATCACAGTACCCGTATAATAAAGGTTAAAAAAGCACAACAATAACAATAGCACTCTGCAGGCAGCACAGTTGGTGAGAGCATAGGAGTACTGTACAGCAATGTATTTGTCTGCAATGCCATCTGCTGCCTGCCACATAGCCCTGCAGCCTATAGCACCTGCTACGCATGGTGGCCTCCCATGCGAGGCCTACCCAGACCCAACACCTGCTCAGCTTTGCGAGATTTGAGGTGGTGTGTGTGGCAGTGGATCGCAGCAGCAGTGCCGTAGCGTATGTGTGCGTACAACAACAACAACCGCCATTCGCCACTAAGTGGCGGTGACGTCACCACGACGCTTGTGCCAGGCCATGTGCACCTTGAGGCCACGTGAAGTGTCGAACGCCCGCTGGCAGGAGGTCACGGGGCAGACCCAGCAGGTGCCACGGGTCGACTGACTGAGACGACTGGCTGATGCACCACCTGTGCCCCCTACTGTGCCAACCTGCTGTGCTTTAGCCACCCGGCACTCCGCTCATTGTTGTGAGCGTCGCTCCTCCGCCCTCTGTTGTTGTTGGAGGGCGACTGCCTCCACACACAAGCAGGATAGCAACAGCACCTTCATTCCATAATACACACGTGTAGTGTGAATGACGCTCATGTAATAATGAATTACACTCGTTTGTGACGTATTGACGTCGAGGTGTTGCAGTCGTGTATATGGGCAGTGGTAATTTACTGTTGTGCATATATACCTTAGTCTGGATCTGTGAGCTCAAGTTGTAAAAAACTGAACACTAATAATTATAAAATATGCCTGAGTCTGGATTAAACAGCCTCAAGTTTGATTACTAAATCCTAAAAATGCTAAGAAAGTCTGGATATGAGCCGTAAGTAATAACACTGTACACTATGCATCCTAATTGTGCCTCAGAGAAGCAACGATTGGACTCATTTGTTACAATGGAACGAACATTTCGCCCGTTCCTTATTCATCACTAATTTCTCGTGTCATATCGCGTGATTTAACAGTCACGCATTTTGGAATATGACCGAGCGTGGGGGAGAGCTTGTGGGAGTGCCATTGGAAAACCGAATTTGACAATGAAAAGCAGCAATGCGTGTGTCCAAGAAGAGAACGGTTCCATCCATTGCAGTAGAATTTATCGTGACAAATTGTTCAGAACCATGAACATTGACAAATTCTGACAAATCCTCCGATTACGGTTGAAAATAAGTTTAACATAAATACGTGTGTGTCTTGGCCATGTTAATATGAACTCACGTGGTAGACAGGAAGTTGAGCTTCTCAATGACTCCCCTCAGCCAGCTCACGTCACACACAGTCCAAGTCACTCGGAGGAACTGGCAGTGGGGAGCGCTCAAGTCCTGAGCGAACGGGGAGAGAGGACTTCACACGAGCGCGTCTCAACACATAAACCATCACGTGAAACTCTGGTCATGCTTGGCTTGCCGTTGAACAAAGTCGGTCACTGCATCACGCGCGTTCAGGTGACTTTCTGAGGCCGTCAGGAATGCTCTTCCTTCCGATATTAGGAAGCCACTGGAGCAATGCACTGTCAAATCTAAATTGAAAAATAATTTATTTGGAACTGCTTTGTGTTCAGTTTGTTGTCCTTGCCCCCCCCCCCCCCCCCCCCGCACCTCTGATTAGGAAGGTTGGCTACCTACAGGGCGAAAAAAGTTTTAAAACATACATACACAGAGACCCACAGACACCCAGACCCATAGAGACCAACAGATTAGCACAGTTGGCTCCGTATGTTACAAACAAATTCAACATCCA